GCGTTCTTCTCTGAAAAATATAAACTTAAAACTCACTCATCTCTGTGGGCAGGAATGGCTCCATGGGGACATGAGTGTGTGTGTGTGGTGTGTGTGTGTGCGCACTGAGGGCTGGTGTGTGTGCGTGTGTGTGTGTGCTGAGGGCTGGTGTGTGTGTGTGTTTGTGCTGAGGGCTGGTGTTTGTGTATGTTTGTGTATGCTGAGGGCTGGTGTGTGTGTATGTGTGCTGAAGCCTGTTTTGTGCATGTGTGTGCGCGCGCATGTGCTGAGGGCTGGTGTTTGTGTGTGTTTGTGTGTGCTGAGGGCTGGTGTGTGTGTGTGTGTGCGCTGAGGGCTGGTGTGTGTGTGTGTGTGCGCTGAGGGCTGGTGTGTGTGTGTGTGTGCGCTGAGGGCTGGTGTGTGTGTGTGTGTGCGCTGAGGGCTGGTGTGTGTGTGTGTGTGCGCTGAGGGCTGGTGTGTGTGTGTGTGTGTGTGTGTGGTGTGTGTGTGCGCACTGAGGGCTGGTGTGTGTGCATGTGTGTGTGGGCTGAGGGCTGGGGTGTGTGTGTGTTTGTGCTGAGGGCTGGTGTTTGTGTATGTGTGTGTATGCTGAGGGCTGGTGTGTGTGTGTGTGTGCTGAGGCCTGTTTTGTGCATGTGTGTGCGCACGCATGTGCTGAGGGCTGATGTGTGTGTGTGCTGAGGGCTGGTGTGTGCGTGTGTGTATGTGTGCGCACTGAGGGCTGGTGTGTGTGCATGTATGTGTGTGCTGAGGGCTGGTGTGTGCGTGTGTGTATGTGTGCGCACTGAGGGCTGGTGTGTGTGCATGTATGTGTGTGCTGAGGGCTGGTGTGTGCGTGTGTGTATGTGTGCGCACTGAGGGCTGGTGTGTGTGTGTGTGTATGTGTGGACTGGTGTGTGTGTGTGTGTGTGTGTGTGTGGTGGCTGCTGAGGGCTAGCTGGTGACCTCCCGGCCGAGCATTGAGCACCGGAGCTGGAGCTGGCTCATCACCATCAGGGCTCACTGGTATGTATGTCAGAACTCCTCAGTGCCAAAGCGATTCCGGCCAAGAACAAAAAAGCAAACGTTGTATTAAATGTAGCCGAGAAACAAGGAACTAAGAAAGCCGATTTCCCAGTGTGGCCCGTGGTCTTCCCCCATTTGACACATTTACTCACCACCAGTTTTTTAAAAAATTTATTTTATTATGAAAACTTTCAGGGACACAGGAAAGTTCCCTGTGCTTTAGGAAAACCTAGCTAAAGCCCCAGGAGGACTTCTTTGATTTTGCCCAGCTTCTAGGGACTGCCCGGTAGTCATAGCTCTCCCTCTGGGGACTACCGCAGTCAAAGATGACTAAATTACGGCCCAGAGGTTTTTATTCTAGCTGGGGAGAGAATTCTAATAAAAACCTTTCTTGTCTTTATTTTTTAAAATCTTTTTTTTTTTTTTTTAGCAGTTTACACCTTACAAGGTGCTTTCACATTCCCGATGAAGTCAAAATCATAACTTCAAAGCTGAAGGAAAGTTAGAGATCACCTTGGTGGGGGCAAATGCCTGGCATGTACTGTGCCACTTCTTAAACTCCTGCCCATGGAAGACATTGCTAATTGATCACTCACTTGTTATTGAACATATTTATTGGACCTGTTATGTTAGGAACACAACAGGAAAGCAGACAGACTTGTTTGTTATCCTTAGGGAACTCCAGGGGGAAGACAGACATTAAACAAATAATTATACGCATGAAGAGTGTTTTTAAAAAGGCTGGGTGTGGGGGCAGACAGGGCATTACACACCTGGAGATAACCTAGGGGTACAGCAGGGTCAGGAAGGCCTCCCTGAGGAAGTGATGTTTAAGATGAAGTCTAGAGAATGAGGAAACTGAGGCTCTGAGAGGGTGGAAAAAGAAACGTTGCATGCCAACACGGAAGATGGCATGGGGCAGGGCATCCTCCTGGCCTAAATGTGGGGGCATGGATACTAAATGGGGTAGGTGTCCAGAGGGAGACAGAAGTTGGTCCATCCAGACCTTGAAAAAAAAAATCAGTTGATAGGAGAGGGCTGGAGACTTGAGCAAAGGTCAGATTTATTTATCATCCCCTTTCCTAAGAATTGTTCCCTCACCTGCTCTAATTTTAAAAGCTATCATTTACTTGCTACTTACCACGTGGTAGCAATTCACACGAACTCTCACGTCTTCCTTGCCAAATAAGTATTATTGTCCCAGTTTTACAGATGAAAAAGAAAAGAAAAAGAAAGGCTTGAGAGGACTAAAGCTGTACTTTTCCC